ACGTTTATGGCGGGGTGGGAGGTTGAGGCAAATCGCCTGGCTGCTGGTTACGCGCAGCCAGACACCAGGGCGGTTAGAAGAGCACAGGAGGGCGCGGTACGCATCAGAGAAGCTTTGAAAAACAGTTTCATGACTGGCCAGGCTACGGTGTGAAAGTTCTGTTTGTTTCTCCTTGATGAAACCCCCCGCCCCTTGGTTCACTCTATTTCCCTGTAAGCTAACCACCCTCCCCTCCTCCCTTCAATCACCGCTTGCAGAGGCAATAAAGTCATTGTTGCTTCACATTCATGCATTCTTTATTTATTCATCACACAAATAGGGGGATGGCTACCAAGGTAGCCCAGGAGGGGTGGTGGAGGAGGGAAGGAAAATACCACACAGCACTTTAAAAGTTTACAACTTTAAAATTTATTGAATGCCAGCCTTCTGTTTTTTGGGCAATCCTCTGTGGTGGAGTGGCTGGTTGGCCAGAGGCCCCCCCACCGCGTTCTTGGGCGTCTGGGTGTGGAGGCTATGGAACTTGGGGAGGAGAGCGGTTGGTTACACAGGGGCTGTAGTGGCAGTCTGTGCTCCAGCTGCCTTTGCTGCAGCTCAGCCATACACTGGAGCATACTGGTTTGGTCCTCCAGCATCCTCAGCATTGAATCCTGCCTCCTCTCATCACGCTGCCGCCACATTTGAGCTTCAGCCCTGTCTTCAGCCCGCCACCTCTCCTCCCAGTCATTTTGTGCTTTCCTGCACTCTGACATTATTTGCCTCCACACATTCGTCTGTGCTTTGTCAGTGTGGGAGGACAGCATGAGCTCAGAGAACATTTCATCACAAGTGTGTTTTTTTTTCTTTCTAATCTTCACTAGCCTCTGGGAAGGAATAGATCCTGTGATCATTGAAACACATGCAGCTGGTGGAGAAAAAAAAGGGACAGTGGTATTTAAAAAGACACATTTTATCAAACAGTGGCTACACTCTTTCAGGGTAAACCTTGCTGTTAACATTACATACATAGCACATGTGCTTTCGTTACAAGGTCGCATTTTGCCTCCCCCCACCACGTGGCTACCCCCTCAACCCTCCACCCTCCCCGTGGCTAACAGCAGGGAACATTTCTGTTCAGCCACAGACAAACAGCCCAGCAGGAATGGGCACCTCTGAGTGTCCCCTGAAGAAAAGCACCCTATTTCAACCAGGTGACCATGAATGATATCTCACTCTCCTGAGGATAACACAGAGAGATAAAGAACGGATGTTGTTTGAATGCCAGCGAACATACACTGCAATGCTTTGTTGTACAATGATACCCGAGTACGTGTTACTGGCCTGGAGTGGTAAAGTGTCCTACCATGGAGGACGCAATAAGGCTGCCCTCCCCAGAAACCTTTTGCAAAGGCTTTGGGAGTACATCCAGGAGAGCCGCGAATGCCAGGGCAAATTAATTAATGTGAAAATGCTTGCTTTTAAACCATGTATAGTATTTTAAAAGGTACACTCACCGGAGGTCCCTTGTCCACCTGCCGAGTCCAGGAGGCAGCCTTGGGTGGGTTTGGGGGGTACTGGCTCCAGGTCCAGGGTGAGAAACAGTTCCTGGCTGTCGGGAAAACCGGTTCCTCCGCTTGCTTGCTGTGAGCTATCTACAACCTCATCATCTTCTTCGTCCCCAAAACCTGCTTCCGTGTTGCCTCCATCTTCATTGAAGGAGTCAAACAACACGGCTGTGGTAGTGGTGGCTGAACCCCCTAAAATGGCATGCAGCTCATCATAGAAGCGGCATGTTTGGGGCTCTGACCCGGAGTGGCCGTTCGCCTCTCTGGTTTTCTGGTAGGCTTGCCTCAGCTCCTTCAGTTTCACATGGCACTGCTTTGGGTCCCTGTTATGGCCTCTGTCCTTCATGCCCTGGGAGATTTTGACAAAGGTTTTGGCATTTGAAAAACTGGAACGGAGTTCTGATAGCACGGATTCCTCTCCCCATACAGCGATCAGATCCCGTACCTCCCGTTCAGTCCATGCTCGAGCTCTTTTGCGATTCTGGGACTCCATCATGGTCACCTCTGCTGATGAGCTCTGCATGGTCACCTCTGCTGATAAGCTCTGCATGGTCACCTGCAGCTTGCCACGCTGGCCAAACAGGAAATGAGATTCAAAAGTTCGTGGTTCTTTTCCTGTCTACCTGGTCAGTGCATCTGAGTTGAGAGTGCTGTCCAGAGCGGTCACAATGGAGCACTCTGGGATAGCTCCCGGAGGCCAATACCGGCGAATTGTGTCCACAGAACCCCAAATTTGACCCGGCAAGGCCGATTTAAGCGCTAATCCATTTGTCAGGAGTGGAATAAGTAAATCGATGTTAAGAGCTCTTTGAGTCGAAATGAATGGCTTCATCATGTGGACGGGTGCAGGTTTACATCGATTTAATGCTGCTAAATTCGACCTAAAGTCCTAGTGTAGACCAGGGCTAAGGGTATGTCTACACTACGGAATAAGGTCGAATTTATAGAAGTCGGTTTTTTAGAAATCGGTTTTATAAATTCGAGTGTGTGTGTCCCCACAGAAAATGCTCTAAGTGCATTAAGTGCATTAACTCGGCGGAGCGCTTCCACAGTACCAAGGCAAGCGTCGACTTCCGGAGCGTTGCACTGTGGGTAGCTATCCCACAGTTCCCGCAGTCTCCGCTGCCCATTGGAATTCTGGGTTGAGATCCCAATGCCTGATGGGGCTAAAACATTGTCGCGGGTGGTTCTGGGTACATATCGTCAGCCCCCCGTTCCCTCCCTCCCCCCGTGAAAGCAAGGGCAGACAATCATTTCGCGCCTTTTTTCCTGAGTTACCTGTGCAGACGCCATACCACAGCAAGCATGGAGCCCGCTCAGGTAACCGTCACCCTATGTCTCCTGGGTGCTGGCAGACGCGGTACGGCTTTGCTGCACAGTAGCAGCAACCCCTTGCCTTCTGGCAGCAGACGGTGCAATACGACTGGTAGTCGTCCTCATCGTGTCCGAGGTGCTCCTGGCCGCGTCGGCTGGGAGCGCCTGGGCAGACATGGGCGCAGGGACTAAATTTGGAGTGACTTGACCAGGTCATTCTCTTTAGTCCTGCAGTCAGTCCTATTGAACCATCTTATGGTGAGCGGGCAGGCGATACGGACTGCTAGCAGTCGTACTGTACCATCTTCTGCCAGGCAGGCAAGAGATGAGGATTGCTAGCAGTCGTATTGCACCATCTTCTGCCAGGCAGGCAAGAGATGGGGATGGCTAGCAGTCGTACTGTACCATCTTCTGCCAAGCAGCCATGAGATGTGGATGGCATGCAGTCCTTCTGCACCGTCTGCTGCCAGCCAAAGATGTAAAAGATAGATGGAGTGGGTCAAAACAAGAAATAGACCAGATTTGTTTTGTACTCATTTGCCTCCTCCCCTGTCTAGGGGACTCATTCCTCTAGGTCACACTGCAGTCACTCACAGAGAAGGTGCAGCGAGGTAAATCTAGCCATGTATCAATCAGAGGCCAGGCTAACCTCCTTGTTCCAATAACAACGATAACTTAGGTGCACCATTTCTTATTGGAACCCTCCGTGCAGTCCTGCCTGAAATACTCCTTGATGTACAGGCACCCCCTTTGTTGATTTTAGCTCCCTGAAGCCAACCCTGTAAGCCGTGTCGTCAGTCGCCCCTCCCTCCGTCAGAGCAACGGCAGACAATCGTTCCGCGCCTTTTTTCTGTGCGGACGCCATACCACGGCAAGCATGGAGCCCGCTCAGCTCACTTTGGCAATTAGGAGCACATTAACCACCACACGCATTATCCAGCAGTATATGCAGCACCAGAACATGGCAAAGCGATACCGGGCGAGGAGGCGACGTCAGCGCGGTCCCGTGAGTGATCAGGACATGGACACAGATTTCTCTGAAAGCATGGGCCCTGACAATGCATGCATCATGGTGCTAATGGGGCAGGTTCATGCTGTGGAACGCCGATTCTGGGCTCGGGAAACAAGCACAGACTGGTGGGACCGCATAGTGTTGCAGGTCTGGGACGATTCCCAGTGGCTACGAAACTTTCGCATGCGTAAGGGCACTTTCATGGAACTTTGTGACTTGCTTTCCCCTGCCCTGAAGCGCATGAATACCAAGATGAGAGCAGCCCTCACAGTTGAGAAGCGAGTGGCGATAGCCCTGTGGAAGCTTGCAACGCCAGACAGCTACCGGTCAGTTGGGAATCAATTTGGAGTGGGCAAATCTACTGTGGGGGCTGCTGTGATGCAAGTAGCCCACGCAATCAAAGATCTGCTGATATCAAGGGTAGTGACCCTGGGAAATGTGCAGGTCATAGTGGATGGCTTTGCTGCAATGGGATTCCCTAACTGTGGTGGGGCTATAGACGGAACCCATATCCCTATCTTGGCACCGGAGCACCAAGCCGCCGAGTACATAAACCGCAAGGGGTACTTTTCGATAGTGCTGCAAGCTCTGGTGGATCACAAGGGACGTTTCACCAACATCAACGTGGGATGGCCGGGAAAGGTGCATGATGCTCGCATCTTCAGGAACTCTGGTCTGTTTCAAAAGCTGCAGGAAGGGACTTTATTCCCAGACCAGAAAATAACTGTTGGGGATGTTGAAATGCCTATATGTATCCTTGGGGACCCAGCCTACCCCTTAATGCCATGGCTCATGAAGCCATACACAGGCAGCCTGGACAGTGGTCAGGAGCTGTTCAACTACAGGCTGAGCAAGTGCAGAATGGTGGTAGAATGTGCATTTGGACGTTTAAAGGCGCGCTGGCGCAGTTTACTGACTCGCTTAGACCTCAGCGAAACCAATATTCCCACTGTTATTACTGCTTGCTGTGTGCTCCACAATATCTGTGAGAGTAAGGGGGAGACGTTTATGGCGGGGTGGGAGGTTGAGGCAAATCGCCTGGCTGCTGGTTACGCGCAGCCAGACACCAGGGCGGTTAGAAGAGCACAGGAGGGCGCGGTACGCATCAGAGAAGCTTTGAAAAACAGTTTCATGACTGGCCAGGCTACGGTGTGAAAGTTCTGTTTGTTTCTCCTTGATGAACCCCCCCGCCCCTTGGTTCACTCTACTTCCCTGTAAGCTAACCACCCTCCCCTCCTCCCTTTAATCATTGCTTGCAGAGCCAATAAAGTCATTGTTGCTTCACATTCATGCATTCGTTATTCATTCATCACACAAATAGGGGGATGACTACCAAGGTAGCCCAGGAGGGGTGGTGGAGGAGGGAAGGAAAATGCCACACAGCACTTTAAGCACAGCACTTTAAAAGTTTACAACTTTAAAATTTATTGAATGACAGCCTTCTTTTTTTTGGGCAATCCTCTGTGGGGGAGTGGCTGGTTGGCCGGAGGCCCCCCCACCGCATTCTTGGGCGTCTGGGTGTGGAGGCTATGGAACTTGGGGAGGAGGGCGGTTGGTTACAGAGGGGCTGCAGTGGCAGTCTGTGCTCCAGCTGCCTTTGCTGCAGCTCAACCATACACTGGAGCATACTGGTTTGGTCCTGCAGCAGCCTCAGCATTGAATCCTGCCTCCTCTCATCACGCTGCTGCCACCTTTGAGCTTCAGCCCTGTCTTCAGCCCGCCACTTACTCTCTTCAGCCCTCCACCTCTCCTCCCGGTCATTTTGTGCTTTCCTGCACTCTGACATTATTTGCCTCCACGCATTCGTCTGTGCTCTGTCAGTGTGGGAGGACAGCATGAGCTCGGAGAACATTTCATCGCGAGTGCGTTTTTTTTTCTTTCTAAGCTTCACTAGCCTCTGGGAAGGAGAAGATCCTGTGATCATTGAAACACATGCAGCTGGTGGAGAAAAAAAAGGGACAGCGGTATTTAAAAAGACACACATTTTATAAAACAGTCGCTACACTCTTTCAGGGTAAACCTTGCTGTTAACATTACATACATAGCACATGTGCTTTCGTTACAAGGTCGCATTTTGCCTCCTCCCACCGCGTGAACGGATTTTGGTTGAATGCCAGCAAACATACACTGCAATGCTTTGTTCTACAGTGATTCCCCAGTACGTGTTGCTGGCCTGGAGTGGTAAAGTGTCCTACCATGAAGGACGAAATAAGGCTGCCCTCCCCAGAAACCTTTTGCAAAGGCAGAACCGCAAATGCCAGGGCAAAGTAATCCTTTCACATGCTTGCTTTTAAACCATGTATAGCATTTTAAAAGGTACACTCACCAGAGGTCCCTTCTCCGCCTGCTGAGTCCAGGAGGCAGCCTTGGGTGGGTTCGGGGGGTACTGGCTCCAGGTCTAGGGTGAGAAACAGTTCCTGGCTGTCGGGAAAACCGGTTTCTCCGCTTGCTTGCTGTGAGCTATCTACAACCTCCTCATCATCATCTTCTTCGTCCCCAAAACCTACTTCCGTATTGCCTCCATCTCCATTGAAGGAGTCAAACAACACGGCTGTGGTAGTGGTGGCTGAACCCCCTAAAATGGCATGCAGCTCATCATAGAAGCGGCATGTTTGGGGCTCTGACCCAGAGCGGCTGTTCGCCTCTCTGGTTTTCTGGTAGGCTTGCCTCAGCTCCTTCAGTTTCACGCGGCACTGCTTCGGGTCCCTGTTATGGCCTCTGTCCTTCATGCCCTGGGAGATTTTGACAAAGGTTTTGGCATTTCGAAAACTGGAATGGAGTTCTGATAGCACGGATTCCTCTCCCCAAACAGCGATCAGATCCCGTACCTCCCGTTCGGTCCATGCTGGAGCTCTTTTGCGATTCTGGGACTCCATCATGGTCACCTCTGCTGATGAGCTCTGCATGGTCACCTGCAGCTTGCCACGCTGGCCAAACAGGAAATGAGATTCAAAAGTTCGCGGTTCTTTTCCTGTCTACCTGGCCAGTGCATCTGAGTTGAGAGCGCTGTCCAGAGCGGTCAGAATGGAGCACTCTGGGATAGCTCCCGGAGGCCAATACCATCGAATTGTGTCCACAGTACCCCAAATTCGAGCCGGCAACGTCGATTTAAGCGCTAATCCACTTGTCAGGGGTGGAGTAAGGAAATCGATTTTAAGAGCCCTTTAAGTCGAAATAAAGGGCTTCATTGTGTGGACGGGTGCAGGTTTAAATCGATTTAACGCTGCTAAATTCGACCTAAAGTCCTAGTGTAGACCAGGGCTAAGTGTATATATTCTTGATAACTGCAGATACTCTTTACAATGAAATCCCTGTTCAGGCTTAGTGTTTGAGACCTTCCTGTGCTGACTGATTGCTCTTTAGGTCACACTACTGATCAGCATTTTGATTAATGGTTTTATGTTTAAAATACTATGACAGCATAACTGGTAAAAGCAACATGACTAACTCAGTCTGGTGAAATAATTTCTCTCGCTCCATCATAATGGGCTTTGATGGCAAAGTGAGAGAGAGAAAGGAGGGGCTGGAAGTGTCTTATCTAATCCATCCTCTTACATCAAGCAGTGACTATTGTTTCCAGAAATTGTTTCTAGCCTTTCTAGTGCACCAAAAGAGGCTGTGCCAGAGCTACCTCACTGTGGGCAAAATAAAAATAGCTTATTCTTTGACACCTGCTATCATTTTCTTCCTAATTGAGAAAAGCCTGGAATAGAAAAACAGAAGTATACTATCTGTACAACACCTTCAGCTAATTCCCTTCCTTAGTATGATAGGCGCATACCATTTCTCCCCCCGGAAACAGTAGTTTCATTGTGAGTATACACAAGTTGGGAACAAATTCTGCTCTCAGTTTTTCTGTGCAAGCTTATTGACTTTAATGGAGGGCACGAGTGCAAATGAGGGAAGAGTCCAGTACTTGGAAAGGACTGTCTGGGGCTTGAAATACACACATACCAAGGATTCTTCCCTTAATTTTCCCTGGATGTGGCATTGTTTTTTGGGGGGTTTCACGCTTGCACATTCCTCTTCACCTGCCAGCAGAATTTCTGTTCTGTGTCTTCTTGGAAATCCGGTGTACTTCTGATACCCAAAACGCTTGGGATATAACAAGCAAGAACCAAGAAAAGCCTCTTCTTTCTCCTATTTCCATTCCATACAGCGTATTGAAATTGCTCACAAAGATGCCGGTTATTGCCTTTGCTCCTTGAAATACTGTCCTTGTATAGTGTCCTCACCCTTTACTCAAAGGTTTAGAGGGATTTTTGGCGGTGATGTCTCTTCCATAGGAAGCGTGGAGAGTGTTGCTCCCACACACATTCAGGAATTTTGGGAAATGAGAACTGGTGTAATTGTCTCTCCTGGGGAAAGTTTGAATCAGGGTCAGGTTTGTTTGAACAAGACTTATTTCCAGTTTATCCCTACCACTTATGCCTTTTCAAATAGTGACCAAGATTTATTCTTATTATTAATCATGTTTATTACAATAGTGCCAAAGTGTCAAGCTAGAGTGAGGCCACATTATGCTGGGCACTGCGCAAACAACACGGAGTAGTGGAGGATCCATGTCCTGAGAGTTTACATCTCTCACCCCCTTGATTATCATGCACATTGTAGGGAGAGTGGTCACTTTGGATGAGCTATTACCAGCAGGATAGTGAGTTTATGTGTGTGGTTTTTGGGAGGGGGGTGAGGGGGTGAGAGAACCTGGATTTGTGCAGGAAATGGCCCAACTTGATTATCATGCACATTGTGTAGAGAGTTGTCACTTTGGATGAGCTATCACCAGCAGGAGAGTGAATTTGTGTGGGGGGGTGGAGGGTGAGAAAACCTGGATTTGTGCTGGAAATGGCCCAACTTGATGATCACTTTAGATAAGCTATTACCAGCAGGACAGTGGGGTGGGAGGAGGTATTGTTTCATATTCTCTGTGTGTATATAAAGTCTGCTGCAGTTTCCACGGTATGCATCCGATGAAGTGAGCTGTAGCTCACGAAAGCTCATGCTCAAATAAATTGGTTAGTCTCTAAGGTGCCACAAGTACTCCTTTTCTTTTTACTTTCAACTAGGTTTCTCTCTGTCGCAGCAGGTTTCCCTCTGTTGGCCTTTCTGATGCCATTATTTCACTAGCTTCAGTCATCATAGAGTCTTCCGGTCTGTTCAGGCCCTGGATTTCTGATGTAAACAAAACAGAACAATCCTTTCACAAGCCTTGCAGCCCTCTCTACATCATGAAGAAGCAAAACAGTTAACAGATCCCACTATTCCCCCCTCCCCTTTTTTTTGTATTAATGAAAATAATTACAAGAGTAATAATAAAAAGGCACCTATACAAAGCTCTAGGCACCCCTGACAGATTTAAAGGGGAGAAACTGAGTCATCTTCTCTTCTATACTTGCCACAGGATGGCAGAGCCTGAAATATAACTGAGTTCTTGAAGCCCAGGACCCTGCTCTACTTGCTGGTAAACACTTTTTTCCTTCATAGTGAAACCTTCAGTGAGATTGTGCTTCTGTGTCAGTCTGTCTCCCTTGTGGCATGTGGCCAGCTGATGGCTGTGTACTTTTCCAGAGGTTTTCTGTATCTGTTCACATTTATAATGAAGGGAGGCAGCTCCCACACCAGGAGCCAAGTTCTCCATGTCCCTATTTCTCAGTGTACAGGGTGCCACTGACCCAGTGCTGGGGGAGAGGGCTCTCCTCAGTAATATTAAAATAGAGCTGTCATTCCTCTGCAGTCTATCCCAACTAGTGTTTCAGTGAGATGTGCCCCTGATGCCTGCTTATGGGACTGGCAGAGTGGGCTGTATGCTGCCAGTAATGGAATCTTTGAGGAGGGTCCCTTAGGGGGAGCAGTGTTACTGACCAACCTAGGGAGGGGCAACATCTGCATGATTTCATCGCCTGAGACAAATCTCCTGTGTCACCCCTCTCACTGATGCATGCTACAGAGGGAAGCCCCCTGTCCCCTCCCCTCAGTGTGTGGCTCTGTGGACCCCCTTAATTCAATTACTATGTTCTGCACTCAGCATCTTTAATCCAAGCCAGGGTCATAGAGTCAGTTTTGCTCTTCCTGGAATGGTTCCAGTAACTGTTCTGAATCCCAAATGAGCAGCCTGTGGGGCTGATAGAAATGACAGTCTTAGGCATCACATGATGGAAAACTATCTACATGACATATAGAACAGGGGATGGTTAATAGGGATGTCAGACACCCTTCAAGGACTCCTGAGGGGCCCTATAAATCCAGAGCACCAGCAGAGACTCCAGTAACTTCAGTATTTTTGGGCTGGGGCCATATGACATTCTGGAGTCTGAGTTCTCATTTCACTCCATAGAGTTGGCTCCGGGGAGCAGAGAGGAAGAAACATTGTCACTTTGCCAGGCCTCATGCTAAAAAGATGACAACTTCCTTCCTTAAAGTTGTATTCCTTTAGTAACTGTGCTGAGAAGGGGGGTACAGAAACAGTCAAGCTGGGAGAGTGACCTTTTGCAGTTAGGGTACCCTGCTGAAAAGGGGAGTGGGTCTCTGGCATTCAGGGCACTGTGTGCCCTTGGCACACTCATGACATTCTGTCATGAGGCTCTGCACCTCTATGTCCTAGTAAAGAAGATAGGAAAGAAGTTAGTAGAGTACAGGTAGGAGCTAGTAAGGAACAGTCAAATGAAATAGAGTCCCATTTAAATATAATACTTGAAGGCAAGCAACTGAATATTGACAAAATGTAAAATTGCTTATATACAAATTCTAGAAATCCAAATATTAAGGAGGGTGAATTACAGTGTCTGGCATTAAATGAGAATATTGATATAATAGGCATTACAGACATTTGGTTGAATGAAGATAATCAGCGGAACATAGTAATACCACACTATAAATATATAGGAATGACACAGTGGGGCATGCTGTGAGGGAAGTGGCATTATATCTTAAAGAAAGCATAAATAAGGTAAAAATATTACATTAAACAAATTGTACCATGCAATCTTTATATAGAGAAATTCCATGCTTGAGTAAGAGGTGTGTAGGAGTAGGAATATACTACTGGCCACCTGACCAGGATGGTGACTGATTGTGAACTATTAAGGGAGGTTAGAGAGGCTCAAAAGCAGAAAGCGCAATAATAATGGGTGATTTCAACTATCCTCATATTGACTGGGTACATGTCACATCAGGGCACGATGCAGGGATAAAACTTGTAGACACCATACATTGCTGCTTCTTGGAGCAGCTAGTCCTGGGACCCACAAGGGGAGAGGCAATTCTTGATTTAGTCCAAAATGGAGTACAGGATCTGGTCCAAGGGGTGAATATAGCTGAACTGCTTGGTAACAGTGGCTATGATGTAATCAAATTTAACATCCTTGAAGGGAAGAAAATACTAAAAAAAAAATCACCACAGTAACATTTAACTTTTAAAAAAGGGAACTACACAAGAATGAGGATGCTTGTTAGACAGAAAAAAGCTGTTCATAAGCATTAAATGCACATAAGCAGCCTGGGGACTATTTAAAAATACCATAATAGAGGCTCAGACTAAATGTATTCCCAAATCAAAAAAGACAATAAGAAGACAAAAAGAATGTCCCATGACTAAACAACAGTGTTATGGAGGCCATTAGAGGTAAAAAAGCATCTTTTAAAATGTGGAAGTCAGGCTAAATATAAAAGTATAATAGGGCAGGCCAAGAAAGAATTTGAGAAGCAACTTGCTGAAGACACAGAAACTAACAGTAAGAATTTTTTAAAGTACATCAGAAGCAGGAGGCTTGCCAAACAGGCAGTGGGACCACAAGATGACCAAATTGCTGAAGGAGCATGCAGGGAAGACAAGGCAATTGCAGAGAACCTAAATAAATTCTTTCCACAGTCTTCACTGCAGAGGATGTGAGGGAGATACCTACATCCAGGGCCAGATTAACCCATAGGCTAATAAGGCTATATAGCCTTAGGCCCTCCTATTTTTAGGACCTATTGGTCCAGCAGGGGGCGTGGTCGGGGCCAGATGAGAGGGGGAGCGAGCTTGCTCACGCAGCCCTGCTGGAGGGCTCCTGCCAGCAGGAAAAGCAAAGCAATTGCCTATAGCTTGTAAGGAGCTCAGCCGGGAGCCAGCTGGCAGC